TTTTGCCCCCCCCCCCCCCCCCCCCCCCCCCCAAGAATTAGATTTTGATCTTGAAAACATTCCTGAAACTTCAACTTGACTGGACTGACATGCAGGGTATCCTTTTCCCAAGGTGCTAAGTGACTGAAGGACCAAAGGAAAGGTGACTTGTAATCCTATGCAATCTTGGGGGGTGACATTTATCTTTCCCCCTCTTAGAACTTGATGGGCTTAAGATCTCATGGCCACAAAAGGGTTAGACTAACACTATAGCTCCATTCCCCTAGCCATGTCCTTTTTGTTCTTCCTTGCAGCCACCGTTACTAGCCCACGTGTGCCGATTCAGTAACCACCTCTCCCTTTCTACTTCTACTTTCCTTGAACCTTCGCAAAAGAATGCACGGGCCTCATCACAGTGTGTCCCCAGAAGCCAAGCAGCCTCCCCATAGTCCCCCTGTGATAAGCATCCAGCCAGGTGGCTTTCACGTCTGAAATTCACCCTGCAGAGTTTCGGCCAGCTGTCATAAGGGATGAGAGAGATTTATTCATGTTCACCATATTCAAGAACAGAGACCTTTATATGAAAATTCAATGAGTCTTTTGAGTGAAGTATCAGTCATCACATGCTGTGCACATGTATTTGTGGATGTTCTTCCATTACCCAGGCATCGATCCAGGGTGTTCGACCAGCGTTGAATCCCATTCTGTTTCCGGGCATTCCAGCGAGCAGTTACGTTGATGTGTCTCAAATTACATGAACAGAGTGATGTTTTGTGTCACAGATTATGTGTCCGAAGAGACATTCTTCATCATCATGCCATCAGGCAAATCCCCATTCCTGTGGACATGTTTAAGCCTTTTGCCTGTGATCCTCAATTGGCTAGAAATCTGTAGTTCATGTAATTTTTTTTTTCTATTTTTGCTTCTCAGTCAAGATGTGCCCCTGATTTTAATCTGTTGATCAGTGTTAAGCATCAGTGTAGTGAATTTTGTTCAGCTGATTATTTATTATTTCCAATGAACCTCCATTAAAATAATTGTTCAATGAACTACACCTGACCAAGAGAATGAGTAGTGAAGTTCGCAGATTTGACAAAGTGAAGCTTAGCCCTCACAAGTTGCAAAATGCTCTGCACAGTCTGGATACATGTGATCTTGACAGGAAAATTCTAGGTATCAGGAACTGTACTGTTGTCCACAATGAATGAAAAAATACAGCAACTATGGAACATACGCTGAACACAATACACCTTTTTTTCTTTTGCTGAAATCTTTGAGTAGGGCTAGTTTCAAGTAGCTCCCCGTAGCACATGTTGAGGGTTTATGTCACAGTCAGCTCACATTAGATTTAGGCAATTAGAATGTTCCTGGCAGAAATTCCCTGAAGCATATATTTTAATCCTATGTTCATCCAGATGCTGTCATCTTCAAGCTTCCATTTATATGGATGAGTTCTCTAGTCATCTGTGCCATACTCATGGAGTACAATAGTAACATTCCCTGTTCCTTTTGCTTCACCTTATGAATTGCTGACAGGAAAGGGATACTCATCTCCATCATTGTCGTCCTTCTCCCCCCCACCTTTCCTGGAATTGAGTAATTGGGATTTTTCTCATTATTGGTATCACTCTTCTCAATCAATCTTGTCTATCCTTGTCACTATAGCCTTAAAAAATTTCTTACCTCCCTTCTGTCATGAGTAAGCATTCTTGTTGTGGTTGGATACTAAAAGTTTTTTTTTTTCATTCATAAAGGGGGACAAAAATTGGAGGGAGATCCTAGATCTTACCAGTGGAAAGAACTGGAACATTGATTCCCTTTTTTACATGGGGGAAAAAAAGGAATGAAGGCATTGTTGTAGCACATTAGGAGTGTAGTTCTCTTGGCCAGAAATAAAAAAATTGGTAACCTTAAGGAATCTCAAGAAGTTGTGCCGAACTCATTGGAGAAATGAAGAAATGAGGTCAGATAGAGCATGAAATTCATTTTCGAAAATGAATCAGGTCAGTGAAGTGTTCATGAGGGTAAAAATGCCCAGACTAGTCTTTTCAAGGTCACATAAAAGGCAAAAGCGAAGCCATAACAGACTGAGCCAAAATTCTATCTGCAAAGAGAACTCAAATCAATCACCATCTGATTCTTGCACAAGAGACTGACCATAACATTATTAAGCCATTTTTTAAAATGAGTTAATTTCAATAAGTCACTTAAGTAGTGGAAGTCAGCCAAAACTTTTAAAACTGTCAGGTAATGCCACAAATGAACACTCAAAAATTCATCATAATCTTTGCAATGGTTGGGTTGCACCCAAATCAAAGAAGAAAAAGTTTGTCAGCATGTGCTTAGCACATAATGCCACAATCCAAGTTGGGAAGCAGAAACTGAAGCACATAACATTGTTGCAAAAAAAGCCATAATGAAAGGACTGTATAATGGAAAAAATAAATGTAGCACCATATTGATGGTTGTCAGATCCTTGTAGAGAAGAAATTTTTCCAGGCCAAATCCATGGTGTCAGATTCAGCATTGGCAGATGAACCATTCAACAACCTTCACAACTAATTGTTCCACCCCAAAATTCAAATCAGAGATGCTATGCCTTCTGCAAACCTCCTCAGGAATTGCCCTCTTCCAGGAACTCACAACCCACAACTGTCTTTTGCCTCAAGCAGGTATGATATTGGCTATCTAAGCATCACATGTCTGGACGTAGGGAAAAGATGAGCTACAGTTCTCCCAGCAATTGTCTCAATCTGACGTCATGGTCTCACCCCAGGAGATCCAGGCTGATTCTCCAGGTGATCTCGGCAGATCCGCTGGGTCATTTCCTTCAAGGGTTCAAATTCCTTGTGGCTTACCAAGTCAAATTCACTTACAAAGTAGTAGAAATGCTTGTAGCAAGTATTCACATGGGCTTCCTAGGCACAAAAAAATTTTTGAACATCAGCAAGACAGAAATTTCTCAGCTTTCCAATGAAGTACCCAACAAACTTACAGCTCCACTTGCAATGAGGCGGTCAAAGTGATGGATGTATACGTGGACAAAAACCCTGAAAAGCCTTGTAACGATCTTTTTGCACATCCCTTGGAAGCCCTTGGGGAACGGAATATCTGCAAATAAATTCTTAAATGAACTTCTGAGAAATAGATTTTAAAACCGAACCTTTGGCCAATCAACTGCCAATTAGATTTACACTCACCAACTTTGGTGGGGAAGATGGACTCATCGTTGATCTGGCTTTCAATCCAGTCCATGAGCAAAGTGATGTACTGAGGAGCAGGTAGGTGAGTCGGTTTCCGGTATCTCTGGCCATCACACCACAGGTACTCGTACTTTGGCCCTCCTGACATGGTTGGGCAGGATTCCTCTGTGCAGTATTCACATACTGTCCCGTAGATGAGGTTGATCCGATTGAAGAAATCAACCACTGTGAAGGAAGTAAATGAATTAAATGTAACCGGAGTGAGGAAATCAAGAGACTTAAAAAAAAGTGGACTACCATGGACAGCAGTCCAGTCATTCAGGTCCTCGCCTGGAGGTAGCTTTACGACAGCCTTAAGATTAATCCCCGAATTCAGTGATGCCTGTGCCTGCTTGTGTAAGGAATACCTGAGAGTACCGGGCTGGAATTTCTTCTTTGGCTTAAACGTCTGCAAAGAAATTCCACGTCATACAAATATGTTCAATAATGGAGAATATCTCAACTTATCTTACGGTCTCACCTTTCCCTTCTGAAAAAATTCCATAAATGATGCCATGGCGAATCTTTGGAAAACAGTCCGCCTAGTTGATCAATTATTTATAAAGCCCAAATGGAGGCGAGAACCAACCACATAATCTCAACAGAACGCTCGTGGGCGATAACAAGGACTGGACGAAGCCATATTGCGGAAAGCTAGACTTTTTGTATCACGTCATCTTCAACGAGGCCCTTAAATGTACAATCAAGGAAACCTGTATCTGACTGAGAACACAACCTAAAAATATTTAACTTCAGATTTGAAAAAAGATATGAGGAAATTTGGTCGTGAATGGGTCCCAAAGGGAAGAATATAACTCGCAGGTTGAGGATAGAGTGAAGAAGATGGTCAATGTGAAACAAATCGAAGATTCCCACAAGATGTTTCCTCTAGTCTGCTCTCAGTGTTTGTTTTCGTTCACTCTTCGACTTATGATCGACAGTGGTTGGCAACAGCTTTGTTGTGTCCTTGTTTTTTCGCGAAGGACAAGAATGCCTTTAGGCACGTGCATGGATCGATCTATGGGAGTAGAATATATGCTTATCTCTTTCGAAAAGCTCCGTATTTATACTGCTGATGATTTCGTGTCAATAGGCGAGGCCTTGACTAAAGTTTGTCAAGGTTTGTTACCCTATGGTAGCATGAGACTAACATTCCCATTGATAGCAAGGGGTCCAAAGTTAGTTAGTATAAGACTCTGCCTCGAGTGAGGATAGCACGGAATATTAGGCCTTGACATTCTAACGTTAAACCTCAGACATAGTATCCCAATATCTGTTAAGTCAAACTTTTGGACTTATATGGGATACGTAAGCGCTAGCATGGGCTTTTGCTCTGAGGAATATTTATTCCAACTGTTGGGCAATTTATTGAGTGAAGTATTTCATTCTTGAACTGCTAAACATAACTAGAGGTCTGTGAGAGTTAGATCTAAGCCCAGATCAAGCATTCAACAAAGAGTTGAGCATTTCATGAAGCTAGGCACTCTCACAAGAAGTGGAGTTGAAAGTGCTTGACTTCAGCCTCCGAGTAATGGGAAATAGTAGTAGAATGGGTCCAACCTTATTAGCTATTCCCACAGGCAACCATATTTCTTCCCTTTATTGTGAGATGAATTCAAAAGTTACTTTGGAGTATAACATCAGCAGCATGGTAGTCGCCATGTATCCAAAGTCACCATCACTTTACGACTCTGTTGACCTACCCTTGGAGCCTTGGAGGTCACCAAACTCAAAGTGCATGACATCACATGTGTTATTACTGACCTGAAGGTGAAACCATCCCACCTTGTTGCGTTCACTCCCTAAGCTAGTCGGAACGAGGTTCACTTGTTATCCAGCATGCTTTGCACTCGGCCAGCACAAGGCAATAAGGCCTGCACGAGGAGGCAATGTGATTGGTGAGAATGACTGATCCCCTGTTGGAAGTCACCATACTTGGATGTAAAAAAAATGCGGCTGCCCCTGTGCATGCACATGTGCGAAATGATGGCTATGTTGTGGATGTCATATGTAAAGCCAAAGTGTCCTAGGCCATGATTTGAATAGAGTTCTGGTGTCATAGTATGGAGAAAATGATTGAACAAGCAATATAGTGGTGACTTCAATGTTGGTGATGTTGCAATCTTGGATGCAAACTTTGATTATTTGTTTGTATCTGGGCTCCATGATTTTGTCATTGTCAACTTACCCTGCACAGGTCCAATGTATACCTGCAATTGTCTCTCCCTTCATTATTCTATTCTGACATTCTCATCATTTCCCTAATTCCCTTCACTGTTATCAGCTAAAACTTGGAACATCTCAATTTTAAAATGTGTGAAGTTAGTTTTGAAGAAATGTTAAATTTGATTCTAATTCCCTGTAATTTTATGAGCTATATTTACTTAATCAGGTTTCATCCTTCTGCATATCATCCTCATCATTAATATAACTGATGCTTAGCTATCATTGACAATATTATTTACCTGTTGGTCAGAGGTGGTGTTTGATCAAAGTTTAGATCTATTTGCAGCATGACAAATAATCAGTTGGTCAGGGTAGCTGTAATGGGCCAATGACATTTCTTAAGATTCTTGTGCTGAATCTCTACCAAGGGGCATTCATTTTGCTATTCAATCCCCGTTCATTTATGTCTGCCACATTAACCCATGTCCTAAGCTACTGTGGTGTCAGTCAGTATCAGACTTTCATGAAAACTTGACAGGTACAGGGTGAATCCTTACATGAAAGCGTTTACATGCTGTCTTGGTATTTGCAGGATGAGTCAATGCTGGAATAAAATATAGCAACTTTGAAGGCAGTTCCAGATGCAATGTTTGGCCAAGGTTCTAAGGTGTACCTTGAAATGAGTATCTTTTCATCACATCTCCAGAAATAGTCATAGATATATCATAGGTGTGTCAGAGAGAGGAGGGAAACTTTTTTTTAATGTTCTTAGTGTGGCCAGAAAAGAATGGGGACTCATTTCTTTCAATTTGGTGCTAATATGCCCCTGCCAGCATTTTATGTGGGGAATGAAATACTCTTGGTTGACAGCCAGATTATCTTGCCCCCAGAAAAGGCTCTTGTCTTGTCATTTTTCTCTTATCTGCCCCTCTCAGCTGAAGAGTGAACCTGTGCAACTATTTCATGGATTGTTTCATTCTGACTTATCTGTGCCATTGCCTACCCAGCATGAGATTAAAGTAGCAAAGTGTTATGGGATATGTTTGCATTTTTGGGTGTGGATGCTTTTTCCATCCGTACTTGCTGTTATTTAAACGCTACTAATAAGGATATTGTTCAATTGGGCTGGATTTGCACTCTAGGTTTTGATTGTTATTTCATCAGATGGCAAACTGAGTTCTTGAAGCTATTGAATTGTAATTGTATTTATTGTTGTTGTCAGGTTTATTGGTTGAAGCCGGGGCCTGAAAGCCAGGAAAGGCTGGAAAGCTGGGCGAAGCCCAAAGGAGACTGGAAGGGGGAGATGGAATTGAGCCGGAAACATGCTCTTGTCTGATGACCAAAGACCTTAGGCCTAGGGCTAGTTCTGAATTCCTTCCTTTGTTGAGATTTCCCTACCCACTGCCACCTGGTAGTGATCATCCAGCTGAGCATCGTGCACTGAGACCGGGTCTTCCCGAGCTGCTCCTGGATGGCATCCCCTGATTCACCCAGCCCAGGTTAGTGATGAACCCTGTTATCCCTGTTGCTGAGCACTCTCTACTTAACATATGGCCTTCGATGCACAGTATCTTGGAGGACATGACCCTCGAGCCAGATGAAGTTGAGTAGTCCTGTTCTAGACTGTCTAGAGAGTTATATGCTATGGATAAGTTAACTCCAAAAGATAGTGCATATGGTATGGGAGACTGGGGTACGATGGGACAATTTTCAAAAAATATATCTCTAGCATATAAAATTTGGGGAATCCAAGTTTTCTCTTCCAATAGAGGACATTCCTGGCTACAAAAAATGTCAAGGCTCTCTTAATTTCAAGAAATAGTTTTCTGCTGAATGGTAAAATTTCAAAGGCAGTCAAAGTGTCCCATTTTACCCCTCCCCCAGGCATAATGGGACAGGCAATAGGGTAGTGTGGGACATTCCCTGCTTTTAATGAATAAATGGCAGGAAATGTTCTTCAGTTTTGCATTTTATTTTCTTGCTGTCAGAATTTTATTTTGCTCTTTGGCTTCTTTTTCTTGATTTTGAAGAAAGAAAGTTTCTCCAATTTCTCTCTTTCTGGGGTATCTGTTACTATTCCTAATCTGCTAAGAAAATTCCTTTTTCTATATTCTAGTTTGCTGGAAAACCTGAAATGGGGGGTTTATCAATAAATGTAAGAGCATGCAGTACAGTGAGACAGTCAAGATCGTGTCTCAGTCTATTTCATGACCAACTGTGCCCCAAGCAACCATTTTTGAACTTTATATAACTCAGAGACTAGACTAAATTCTTTCATTCCAACTTGAGATTCTTGACATAGTATAGCTTGGTTCAACAAGTCTGCTAATATTGTGACAAGGAACCTAGATTCCTATCTTCTGCATATTTCTATGCAACAGAATTCATTCACATAATCCAAGCTAGAAATTTGTTTATGTTCAGCTAGAGGAGTTGGGAGTGGTCTATAGCAGTATCAGCACTTTGGTAATGCAAAGCTTCCCAGGGGATTAATTCTATGAGAAAGTTCCATTGCCAGGTTTTTCATGAGCTTGGGCAAGTGGCAATCATTGAACCAGTTGATGGATGATTAATGCAGCATTGTCAAAGGTAATCCTGGGGAAGTGAAAGTTGCAGGAAGAATTTCAGAATTGTTTTGAGGAAACTGAGAAAGGAAGATGATTAGAGGTGATAGAGATGGCCTAGCCCTTGTATTATAGTGGCAATAGCAAACAGGAAGCAATGGGCTGTTTTGTTGCTGAGTCTCATTATCTTTGGTGTGAGATTTAGCAATAGGCAAAGGATGCATTTCTGGGAGAGAAGGTCAAGCTCCTGGGCCTTTTTATTTTATTTTTTACTCATGTTGTGGTCTACATAGTGGATGAGAGTTGTAAAAGCAAAGTTTCAGATTCTCTTCCTCAGACCCCATAGGTATTGGATTGGCTGACAAGTGAGTGTATCATGTGATATTCTATGTTGAGAGTGGTACCAGAATGGATGCCAACAAATCCTTGTGCAGATTTTTTCATTTTTGCATGGTGGATTGGCCACTACACAACATATACTTGAAAAACAGAAACTGAGTAATAGAGAAAGCAAGCTATTTTTCTTCCCTTGCTTCATGACATGAGTGATACGCTTTCTCTCATGCCTAATGCTAGTCCTTGAAACAGTTCTTCTGACTGAACACAGAAGTACAATGCATTTTTTAAATTTACAATGAATGATTTCCCTTTGCAGAATTGACTAATGTTGGGAATCATGCTAGGGATGTTCCATCCAGTATCCATAGAATCTGAAATTTCATCAGAGCACAACAGACTGCTTAGACATACAGGCCAATGTGTGAGGATGGGGGGTTACAACACCATTGATAACTATTGTGGACATTAGTGGATGAAATATCAGTGGAAGGAAAGGAAGGAACCTAAATTTGAAACTAAATTAATGTTATTCTGTGTAATCAGAGACCAGGAATGTGTATTGCCCCCTGTTTA